ATTCAATGACTATACGATACGTTTAATTTTATTACTAGTTAAAAAATATCATTAAAAATTACTTGCAACCTACAATTATAGAGTTACAGAATATAGTTTCTCCACTCACAAAAAGAAGAAAAAAAACAGTTAATTATATTTTCAATGACTTTACGTGAAAATTCCTAAACCAGAATACTTTAAAACTAATATGGTGTTTTGGCTATTTTGCATTTGTCGAACCGTGAACGCAATAAAAATATAAACGTTTTTAATGCTTCCCTTAAGTAGCCAATAGCCATAATATTACATTTTATTATCGTAGTTTTCGTACGCTAAAGCGGGGTGGTGTGTTATAACGGTTTCCCGAACAACGCGTTGTAGTAATCAAAGTAATAGTGGTTTAAAAGTATGACCGTTAAAAAAAATAAATAATACTCGGCACAGTAAAAATTAAATTGATAACAGTCCAAGCCAGGTATGTGCAATTTATAGGCAAACAATAATCTGCAAATGTGTGTACATTATAAGTTATAACACATACATTGCGCGTATCTATATAATAAATGTATAATATATAAGCCATATGAGGCGTATTATTACGCGCGGTGATCCGAAACCTGTATTCCATAAAACGTCAATGTTTAGAAGAAAAAACTCATAATAATAATAAATCGCGATTTAATACGATTTCTTTGTGGAGATACATACGCCGACACCCGACACAATGAAAACGGCGCGCCGTACAACAATTTTATATTATAAATTATTTTCTCGATGCGATTCCTTCATAATTATTGTTTCTCGTGTTATGGTCACCGACAAAATACCATTTGCCGACAAATACGTTGTGCAGTTAAGTATGTGCGGTGTCCTTTATATATTATATATATATATATTAGGTAAAGGTATATGGTTTTTCAGTTAATTAAGGTTACCGTCCCTATATTTGATGATTCGTCGGTAGCAAGGTTATAAACCAATAACCTCGTATTATATAGTATTATTGTTTTTTTCCTTTGGTGCTATATTATATATAATATATATATGATGCCGACAATACAAAAAATTAAATTCCTATACAAAATCACTTTTAGACGTAGCCCCGTTTTAAATGAGAACAATTTTCTCATTAATATACATATATTTATATATATTTAAGTTTGTGTATACTGTATATAAATAAAATCACAAAATACGTGTTAACGATATTTATATTTTTCATAATATTAATAGGTTTCTAATTTTTATAAATGGGGTTCTTGTAAAACGATACACAATCTTATTGAGTACCTGCTTTTAAGTATATTATTTACTCATATTATTTTTTCATCGCTTTTAATAATAATTTATTATTTAATATATATTTATAATATACAATATACAGTAAAAGCGAATACAAAAGAAACGATCGATTTTTGTTACACGCTGTTTTAGATTTTTCTCGTTACACATTAAATGTCATAATTATTACTCATTATTGGAGCATATATTAAGAACGGTGGAGTAAAGTAAAAAATAATCATAATATGACCCATTTCTATGTATATGAACACAGATACGGTTTATTTTTGTATGTTTATTATCATTTTTCGTTCGTTAATTTCATATCGTAATCTGGTTCGTAGTAATTTGAAGGGTAGTTGAATGATTAAGTTTTATACATAATTTATTAGAACACATGCCGTTATGTCATATATTACAATATATTATACCATCAACAAAAACAAAAACCGCGCCGAAGACAATCATGGAGTCAAACAAAAACCCACAATTCGATTTGAATTCGCAAGATAATCTGCCAGCGATTTGAAAACGGAAGACCCCATTGTATTTACTGTACGTTGACTTTGGTTGGCTGGTCGTAGCTTCCGGAAGTCCATGATCGATCCAGCTTGAACACTTCACCCTTTCGTTAGTGCTAAATAAAAAACGTCTTTGCATTAAATGTATACACATATATTTTTAAGACAAAGGATAAATACCGCGTTCGTTGAAATCCAGTATGATTGGTGAATAATATGATGAATATATTTTTCACACTCATTACATTCACAGCTTAGTTTATGCACTATCGAATAATAAATCATTTCTATTGTTCTAAAATACCAAACCACGTTATAACAATAATTATTATTAAAAAAAATATATATGTTTACAAAAAATTACGGACAACTAATAATAATAATTACCATAATTATCTATCGAATAAGTTTTTTTTTTAATTATTATGGTTTATTTCATAGTTTATCGCATAATTATCGTTTTTAATTGGGAACGTCACATAATTAATATGAATAAGTATTCGAAGTGTCAACATTTTCGTCAAATTAGATTTAATCAATGAAAATAAGCTATTCTCTCGTAAGTCATTCACAACATTTTCAAGTACAATTTTATGCTAATGAGATACACATTTCAATAATTGCATGTAATTTTATATGAATAGCGAATATTATATTATTATGTGTTCATTCGATTTCTTAGTTTATATGTATACATTTTTGTTTTCTAAATATTTTGTAAAACTTTTTAGACTGGAGTCGAAGCCCAACATAATATAACTTTTATACATTTGAATAATTAAATTGGTCAATGTGAATTAACTTATTAGTTGCTAATTGGGCTGCAATAAAATTTGAAACAATCAAACCGGAACTTTATCGACATTGGAACAGAATTTGATAAATTTTCAAAACATTTATGTATAATATTATACTTTTGTATAGGGAGAAAAATAAAATAATATGCTCTACAAATAAATGCCCGCAAACTAAAATATTTTAACAAATCAGAATTTCCAAAAAATCTCATTTGACAACTTTTAAATAAATACAACTTTAACAAAGACGCTCATGTAGATAATCAATAGACTATACTCTACAAGCGCCTTTTAGTACTATTATAGATTATATTATATAGGTATAAATGATTAGATTTACAAACCAATATCGTCTTTAAACAAATTCCTTCGCTGTTTTTCAACAACTCACCTGTCAAATCAACTTGTCAATAGGGGTTAAACTAAATTTCGCTATGAACTTCATTGAACCACGCTAAAAAATAATCTGAATCCGAACTTAACTAAACTTAAAAAATAATCCGATCAGAAATATCTGATCGAAAATTAAAATCCCCTCAAATCGCTACAAGTATATTTACCGGTGGGTATATACATATACTTGACTTAACCTAATCCCATTCGTACATGTTTTATGGGAATATTTTGCTGGGACATTACCGGCGACCGGTGGTTATGGGCGGGGAATCGATTGATTGCGGTCGTACGGAATCCGTGTCGTATAGAAGTTTGATTGGTAATTTTTTGCTTTTGAACGGCGCGGCGTGACGGCATAGATGGCGGACGAACGCGATTAAACCAAAGCACATAGCGTAACGCGTGCCATAAGCCTTATAAAACGTATCGTTGCTGTGAAGTCTTCCATTGGCGAGCTCATGATATTATAATATACAATATCATACGATATTAATTATTTAATAATATATATATACGAGTATATACCTCTGTATTAACGTATTCATATAGTACACGTTTATATTTCAAATGCGCCTTAATTAGTTAGTACCTATGTCGTTTACTAATTACTATAACACCAATGTGTGACAAAACCGAGTGTTCTATGTGATATTTTCACACCGATTTTCCGCCCCCAACATCAATATACACACAAGATACAAATATTCAAGGGAGACATAGCCGTTTGGATGCCTTGTAAGTAGAGTACCTCTATATAGAATTAACCTGCAAACGAATTATACGAAACGGGCTGGGAATATTGTTATATGATGTCACGACGTTCGGATAATATCGTACCTATATACACATCGTATGAACGTGCGTAATAAATTGTTATTCGCTGCGATATTCCAGATAATGGGAACAATAATAACGCAATAATATCGACTACCATCAGCCAGCATTCGGCCGCCGCCATATTACATAATATATCATGATCTGTGCAGTGGCGTAACTATAATAGGAAGTATAATATAGAAGGGATCAAAGGGGAGTACTGCAACGGCACCCAAGTTGCAAACACTTATACATTAGAGGGATCCCATTATTGATATTGTGTATAAAAATATACATCATAACTAGTTATTGATTTTTTTTTTCTGGTCGTTGTCGTTTTGTATTCCAATTAAATACAATTTTTAATTTTAATAAAAATAATGTATAATTTTATATATTTAAAATCGTTCACACTACGAAGTTTCTATCAAACTGTATTCTATCTATGTTTTTCCGAAGTTAAAAAAATGTCAATGTAACATTACTATTTCAGTACGAATCAAAGAGCAAACGAATTGTTCACTCCGATCACTTTTATTGTGCATTCGCCCAGTGCTCGAGTCTGAAATTGTCGCTCCCGGGCCAAAACTCCAAAGTTCCGCCACGTACAATCACATAATATATATGTGTATAGAATAATATGATAATGTCATAATGATAAGGATTGCGAGTCGCGCGCAGGGCTCTGTATACTACGCGGCTGGCAAAGTGACGATGAGGGGTGGCAGTGGTTCTCTCGAGGGGTTCGCGAGTTTTGATGGCTTAGCCGCTTTAAGGTCCTACCCCTTGCCCGACCTCGACCACCGATCTCGCGGGGTCCGGATGCTGCGCCGCCGGAGAGTCGTAATAATGTATTATATCACGGACGGCGAGGGCCGCCGACGACCGCCGACGACAACGCGCTCCCGCCGTGGCAACACTGACGGGCGGCGGGCGTACGAGGCCCCTCCGGAGAACGCGCGTTTTTTTCCGTACAGCTTCGACGGTGTACTGGTAACGACGACACGAGCCCAGGGCGGCGCCGTCGTCTTCAACCGCCGCCACCACCGTTGTCGTCGTCGTTGCGAGGCAGCTGCTGCCGCTGCACCGCCCGCCGACCGTATCCATCTGCCCGACGCCGCCGCCGCCGCGATTGTGTGCGCGTCGTTGTTGTCGGTAGCCGTCGCCGCCGCCGTCGTACTCTCTCGCGAGCGCCTCGCGCATTACCGCTACGGTACGCTCGACGATCAGTTCAGTCAGCTCGGTCGCGTAAGTCTGTCGTCACTTTCGTAGTGGTCGTCGTAGTCGTCGTTGTCGTCGTCGTCGATCGGTGTTTTGATTTTTTTTTTTTTTTTTTTGCCTCACTCGCCGAAAAACACAGATTCAGCCGAATTTATTGAAATTTTTTTTTTCTCGTCCGAGACAGACTAGCGCTTGAGATTCACTTCACGTGCGTTTTTCGCCGATTGTTTCCATATTATAATATCGTCTACTGACCATAATTATTATCTCCGACCACACATTATCACAAAATATTTGTCGCGCGGGAAGCTGCGAAGACATATCGAGGATCGCGTGACCAGAGATATTGGCCTCTTGGCTAGCATCTTCACTGTGACTACGGTAAGAACGATTACGATTATTGTTATTGTTATCATTATAAGAAAGCTAGGAATATTTTTAGAATTTTCATCGCGAAAAATATAATTTAAATGAAAATAACCTACCCAATACGTACATATATATATTTAATATCTAGATAATAAATATTATTATTTTATTTAATATTATGTTGATGAAAAATATATGATTCAATATAGGTACGCTATTTGGTTTTGTACGTATTTATACTTGATAATATAACTTATAAAATAGTCAATAAGCCTTCTAGATTTTTTTCTCAGTACAGAAAAGATTTAGAATTTTTTTTATGAAAATGTTGACATTTTGAGAAAATTTAAAATTGAAAGGTTTTAAACGTTTTAAAATATTTTGAAAAGCAATGAGTAGTCTCCACAAACCAAACAAAAATATATCATAATTTGTTTAAAATATATGTATGTTTTAACAGTTTTGAGAATATCAAAGATCAATGACTTGTTTTTGTTTTTTAAATTAATATTTATGTTTTGAAAAAATAATCTAAAATGTGGATGTGTAAAAAATTAATTTTAATTTTATTCCCAAAATAGTTTTTTTCCGAAAATATGACTTGGTAAGTAATTTGTAGACAACCAATTAATTATAATAGTATAATTTAATAAAAGAATTCCAAGTAAAATAAAACGAATATTTTTTTTTTAATGAGTAACATTTTAAACGTCGAATTCAAAATGTTAAAAAATTAAAATGTTTTTTCTTCTCTAGTAGATTAATTTCAATAATAAAATGAATGAAATTAATACTTAAAAGCTTATAAAAATATATTTTTGTATATAAAACATTTATAATAGAGTAAAATTTTTATTGAATTTATATAAAATAGTAAAGTTTTAATATAATATATTGTATAATGCACTCAAAACAGTTATAAAGAAAAATTTAAACACTGTTTTACCTCATCGATATATTAAACAATTTATTAAGAATCAAGTCGTAAAATGTTTTATTTGTTCCGATAAAAACGACTGTACTTTCATAAAATTAAAATTTTATTAATAAATTGTTTAAAAAACCCATATATTCTATGATATTTAGCAAAAAAAATGTTTCCGCATTAATCACGAAATTAAATACTAAATAAGCGCAATACAAATAAGTTATTCTTCGTATTTATAGTAGCAGAAACTTTTATCCTAATTCTATTATTGCAAGTAAGGTCTAACACTAGGAATATAAATTGAATTAGTCGATTTTAAACAGTTTTCAGTTACCAAATACTTGATTAATAATTTACAAAATTTGTTACGAACTTCATCGGTTTTCATCAAAACTCGTTTTGCTAATACCTTTAACAATAAATAAATGAACATTTTACACGATTAATTAATTGTTTCGTATTTTCCATGTTGGGTCATATATTTTGTAATCAATTAAATTCGATTGTTTTCAGTTCAATGTCATGTCTAGTAGGAGTATCTTTTTTTGCATTGTTCTCGTACATATTGTATTTCCTGATTACCACAATTTATTGCGTATATGGTGTTTTATATATTTGTTTTATTATTACCAACTAACACAAAATGTATTTATTTTATTTCATGAGCAAAAGAAAACTATATTTGTTTATTATATAAGTACTTTGTATAAAACCATCACATACATAATGTTTGACTAAACCGATTTTTGTATTTTACTAAAATATATGCAAGAACGAACGAAAAATTGGATATCTCTATGTCCCGGGGGTGCGTAAAATGCATATAAACTATATAAACTACGAATATAGTGATTTACCTACCCGTATATTTTTTATTTTTTTTACTTATTTATTGTTATTATTTTTATTTATTGAAAATGCTCTGAAAGAGTTTTAGGAAACCGATATTCCTTTCAAAAAATTGCTTCTTTTCCTAGCTAAGTGTTGGTAAAATAATAATATATATATATATTTTTTTTAATCTATATTATTCATGTCGTTTCACATAATAGCCAAAAGATGATGCTTTGTGTTCACGAAATCGATTGGTAATATAGTTTTGTGGTTTTCCGAAATTGACTCTCGTCGATTGATTCTCGTGCATATACTTATAAACATATATATATATTATAATATATTAGACATGTAGTAGGCACAACGATTTTTTCAATCTATTCACAGTTATTAAGTATTATATTATTGCCTAACGTTCGGTCCAGTGTGTGAAATTATAAGATGATATTATAGTAGTTGAGAGGTGAGTTCACTTTTGTTCGTCACGTCCGATATCTTGGAAATCCGGTTATAACCAAAATGATTGACCGCAAACTGTAACTTAGAAAAAATTACGCATATCCAATTAAAAATTAAATTAAAAATTCATATACATTAACCAATAAAAAGTCGATAGTATTTTATTATTTTTATTATTATTATATATTTTATTATAGTAATTTTTTTTGTTTTAAATTTTGATCGTATTAAATTAAATGGATTGTATTCTTGGTAAGTCGATATTAATATCTATCTTGAGAAAAATTCCCTTTAGCACCGACTATGGCTTAGTGTGTTCCCTGGGACTGTATACGTATATAAAGCTAAAACGGTATTAACAAACAAAACAAAAAGCACGTATACAGCTATCAGCTGGGAATACACTAGAGGCAGAGTCATTAATGCAGTATAGGTAAGGTATATATATTTTGTACAACGGTCGAACATATTAGGTTTTGTTGTACGTATAATGTATACCACAGTGGACTTTAGAATGTAGCTCATGATATAGTGACCCAGATCCCATGAGGAACTTGCAGCACTGGCGATATATATAAAGGATTCGTTGGACTTTACATACCTTTTTAGATGTACTTTGTTGCGAAATGTGTATGAAACATTTTTGTGAAGAACTAATATAGTGTCGTGTCGACATGTACAACTGCGGTCCGGTGCAGCGATCTCAAGTGTATTCTTATGTAAGATATGTATAATATACAGTATACACTATATAATATAGTGATATTGCTACGTTATTAATTTGAGTATATCGAATTGACAAACCAATGGAAGTATCTAATTTCCATTAAAATGGTTCACAACTTTTGCTTATAAATGTTTATCATTTGATTGAGTACATAGCCTTTTTTTCATGCAAATATACGTATAATACAAGTTGTATTATTTAATTATAATATAATATGTACAGTATTTATGTTTTAAAATTAAATCATTATCGATAATATGTCAACCAGGAATTCCATTTTTGTAAATAAACGACATTTTTTTTTTATGTTTAAAAAAATTGTTGCTGTGATGGAGATGGACGTTGTAAAATATCAAACAAAGTAAACGTATTATCTTTCATTAGGGCGCAATGCAATTATTCAATTTGTATATACAGCAACGGCAAGTTCAATATTAAACATAATCTGAGAAATTAATTACATCGATATTCGGTTTATGGTCATAGCCAGTACATAATCCATTAATACTGTCATTCCCAACATCACAAACTCGTAATTTAATAACATTTTGGTTATCGAGCCATTTTCATCTGACAGATACAATTATCGTACACATACGTGAGTTTCCTATTATTCAGTAATTCAATGTTTTAACATAATAAATCAAATTGTTTCAAGTAACATTATACCAATATCGTCAATCGTAGGCTAAAATGTTGAATGTTAATAGCTGTACACAAAATTACAAAGTTTCATTAAAAAGGGTCATTTTTATAGTTATTATTGTATTTTCTTTAATAATTATTAATCATTCTTGAGAATTTAATCAAAAAAAAATTGACTCAAAAATGTATATTTCATCTCTTTTAAATTGACAAGATATTATAGTTTTTATTGTACCTACTAGGGATTAGGTACAAGTTTACCAACAATATGTTTACGTGCTTACTAAATTACTCGTCACTTAAACTTGTTTATATCGAAACTTTAAACTTCCCTTTCACGCATTCAATATTAAATTATTCTTGACGTATAAAAACAATGCTTCCTACTCTCGAAAATACATGTTTGACTCTGTAGTTGACAGACGATATATATATATATACTCAATGTCAGTATGTTAAGAAATAGTTTAAAATAAGCATACAAAATATAGTACTATATATTAAGACCTGAATACTTTTATATGGTATGATTATATTTTTATTTTTATTATTAGCCATATAACATATTACGATTTTTTTTCTTATTTTCATAAATATAATTGTTACAGTAAGCATTAATGGAAAGCCTTGCATATTATACGCAGGCTGTATATTCCATAATAAAAAAAAGTTCTAAATATTGATTAAAACCATGGCTCAAATTATTTGTGTATGCTAACATTTTTTTTAAAAAAGAACGCGATATTTAGAAAATATAGTGCAAGACTGTTTTTAGGAGTAGAGTACTTTAAATTATCCTCATTGATTTTTTTTCACTATTTCTTTCTTTATTTTGAAAAATGGTCATTGAAAGTAGCCTCGTAGCCTTTAGGTGACGTTTTGCGCGTTGGTATTAATGAAGCTTGGCTGATCGGATAGCAAAGAGCATATACAACTTTCCCCGCAATAAAGTATCCAATAGACTCGTTGAATTCAATGTCTGAAATAGGGGTTTGCTGAAAATCTTAAACTGCTATGCAACGTATCCATATATAGTATCCAATGGCAACGCAAATATTTTAGAAAATTTCCGAGGACGTCGAAAATCTACCATTTGCCCCATTCCCCTTGGTGCAGAAATATAGAAAGAATAATTAAAACTCATTAGTTGTATAACAAAAAAAAAAAAAAAAATGTGATGTATTATTAAACATTTTAAAAAGGAACATCACATATTAAATTTTGTATGTGTGTTTGCGTGAGTATGTGGGTGTGTGTACGTATAGCTGCGCAATGCACTTGAATTATGTAAATATTTTATAATTACCGTAAAATTTAACGATGACTATATACAATGACAACTATACACATAAATATTACACACACCAACGTTTACCATCATTCTACAGCAAACGCGTTAAGTGCAGAACGAAATAAAAA